ATTTTCATCCCTCACTTCATCCGGGGTCTTAAAAAATTAATTGATTAAATAAAACTGGAACTCGGACATAGACCAGATGGTGTCGATTATAATCAAGGCAGAAACGCCGTTGTGTTTAAAATCCTGTGTTTCCCAGTTTGTTTGATCATAAAACCATCTAGGGCACACTTTGGAAACACAGATCCACAGCTCTTCTCCTTCGCTGTGATGGAGAGACTGTGGCAAGTTCCCGAGAGAGTCTTCTCCTTGGGTCAGTTGGGGAAACAGCCCTCACTGATGAAGAAAGGACCCCAGAAGCTCAGAACACCTGCCTAGAACACCTCCAGATTGGACAAAGCTGCGGCTTCACACTTGACATTTGTCTGTCATTCGGCAAACATGTCAACTGACTGACTGACTACTTCAAAAATGAAGAAAATGATGGAATTCTATGAGTCACTGGAGATAAGCTTCTAATAATAGATGTACTTCAGGCTCTGATGAGAGGCACTTGATACCCATTATCTATCCACTGAGTTCTAATCACTATATAGTTGTTTCACATATGAAATGATATTTTCATTTAATAACACCTCCGAGAGCAAATATTATCATTCCTAAGTTACAGGTAAGGTAAACTGAGATTCATAAAGGCCACAGGGTCACAGTGCCGGATTTGCACCTTGGCTCTACGTCCTATTTGCCCATAAACTTGGGCAAGTTACTGAGTCTCTGTTCCAACTTCCCCATCTATGGATGTATTTGTGACCTGTTCCTGACACTGCTAGTGTGAAGGTCAGTGTCAAGCTAGTGCTGATTATTTATAAACTTTTGTAATATCATACATGCAGTAAGGAGCTGAGTATAGATTTGAAGTCAGGACTTTCTGTTTTCAAACCTGTGTTGTCTACAAAGGCGACTCTGCGCTCTGGAGGAACTTGCTTTCAAAGGAAGGCCACGGATAAAGCAGGCTCAGGTGCACATACAAGAGGAGGGATCTGCAAACAGTGGAGACCACCAATGGATTTTTGGATTCTCCACAGAAAATTTTAAGCTGCATGCTTGTCCCCTTTTGCCCCCCTCGATATTCCAAGGGACAATGAGTGATCAGTAGAAGAGCACATCAGTCTGAACCACCCCAGGCTCCAGTACCCTGTGGAGTCTCTGTGTCAATCATCCACACCCAGAGAATCTCTCCCAAATAAATGACAGGCAGTTGATCAGTGCGGATGTGTGCGCATGTCCACCAGTGAGTGACTTTTCTAAAAGTATTCCTCTGGGTCATAAAATGCCCCACTAGTGTTGAGAAGCAGAATTTTCAAATAGTATTTGAAATAGTTTTTCTTTTAAAGATGAGGACATTGAAGTGCAGAAAAGTTAGGCCACTTATTGAAGGTCATCCAACAAATAAGAGCAGAACAAGGTTTTGAACCAGCTGAGCTAAATTCTAATCCTGGGTCCTTTTCTTGTCAAGCAAGAGAAGCCAGATTTAATTATTTTTCCTACCCTCTCAGGACTGTTAAGAAAAAGGGGAAGGAAAAGGAACACAATATATTCTTAGGGAGACAGTGGAGTAGAGATCCGGCGTCCAGGTTGGGTCTGCTTGTGCTGCTGCAGAGCTTACAACCGTCCCTGCCCCCCACCTATTTCTTTCTTCCCTCCTCCTCTGCACCCATCTTAGCCAACTTGGTTCTTGCTGCCTTTTGGGCCAAAGTGCGTGGGAGGCTTCTAACACCTGGGATAGAATGTTTCTTCCTTCATTCCCTGTTCTTTCCTTAATACACCATGGGATCTGTTATTAAGGACTCTTTTAAAAAAAAATGTTTTCCATGACTTGAATCAAGCGGCTGACACGGTGGTCTCCGTGGGTCCTCGACATGATCGGAAGGTGGGTCAAACTCTGCCAAGACTACAAGTTTCCAGATGTTAATACGCTTTAAGTGCGCACATGAGCAAAACTAGACCTCAATCCTGCAAGACCTTCTTTGCCAGGTCTGGGTCTTGGGAATAATCTAAGCCAAGAAAAGCCTGATCACTGACTACATTTAGGGCCATCAATCTGCCCTGCTGTGCAAATGGACGGAGGCACTGCTCAGCATCGGTGGGGGGGTCCTGACCTGGGGATAGAGGGGTGCGAGTTTGTAACATGGGAAGAGCAGCAGCTTCCTGTGCTATAAGCAGGGGTTCCTGGCCAAGGCCGAGGAATCTCAGGGGATGTACTTATCATCAGAAAAGGTCCAGTTTCATGGGAGAATTTGTAAGGCCTGATTCAAAAACTCATCTAGCCCTGGTGGTGAAGAAACTCTTCTAAAAGGAGAGAGAGGTCAAGCCACCAACAAATGGCTTCAGACAAATGAAAGGAGAAAACAAGGTGGGGGATCAAGGGGACATTCCCGAGGCCAGCACATCCTCGAAGGGAAGGTAGTGCAGGTGAGGCAGGTGGGCAAGTCCAGCAAGGGCAGATCCCCGAGGAGAGAGATTCCTTCAGATCCAGGGGGCGTGGGAGTACCCTGGCTCAGAGCTGGGTCCAGGTCTGCCTGGGGCCTGAGTAGCAGTGGAGGACAGAGGAGCAGGAGACAGGTTCCTCCGGGGCTCGGAAGCCTCCCAGCCACCAGCGTGGGTTCTGCCTAGAGCTCCTGCCGTCACAGACCCTGAAGAGAAGATCTGGTGGAGAGAGGGACCACCTAGAGCAGGCTGAATTGAGGCCAGAGGCTTGGGGCTCAGGGGTGGCGCTTCACCAGCCTGAGAAAGGGAAGTTTTTAAACTGACTGAAAGCCAAGCCGTGGATGGGGAAGCCAGTGGAAGCCTGGTCTGTCCTTGGCTCAGGCCTCGCTCTCTTCTCCAGATTGTCCCTAAAGACCCATGACAGGGGGATGTTTCTCTGACAAGGAACTTCTCAACAGTTCTTGAAGCCATCTCCAAGCCCCTCTACAAATAATGCCACGCACCGCCCATTCCATCATCATTCAGTCAGTCGTCCACAATGGCCAGGTCCACGTCGGGCACCAGGTGAAGAAGCTTGTGGACCAATGGCTATTGGGACACAGTGGTAGACTGACACGGGACTCAAGTAAGTCCACGGGAGGTGACCCGGCCAGCAGATGCTCCACCAACAGTAGGTGTGTGTTTGGGGAGAGGAGGGGCGGGATGAAGAGGAGCCATCCACATACCGGAGTATTAAGGTAATTTGAATTTTCCAAGGGCCACAGCTGTTAACAGATTGTGTTTGGAATACAGCTCTAAATCAGTGACCTCAGTTTCATGTTATGTTGATTGGAGAAAATTGTTGGTACAAGAGCCCCCAGGGAACCCTTGTTTTATGTTCTCAGAAAAGAGAAGCCCCATGGCAGGGAGCATCTTCAGAATCTGACCAGGGAGGCAGGCATTCCTGAGCAGTGCCCAGAGGCATCCTCACGGCCTCACCCATCAGGGTACCAGGCCAAGTCACTAAGCCGCCCTGAGACCTCCTCGGAGTGAAAGCAGCTGAGTTCAAAAGACAGGTCGGCATTTTTAGCTTTGATCTGCCTCTCTTAGACCCTGGCCCACGGAGTGACGCTGAACTAAATAAGTCCCTTATTTCTACCGATGCTCATCGGCCTCTTCCTGTCTCTTACCAGTGCTTAGAAATACCTACGGTTAATCCCCAGAGCCCTTTCAAACATGAAGCAGCTTCATTCTTACTTAAGAGGCTGCATCTGAGCTACGATTAGGACTCACCCACAAGGCAGGGCTTTTTCCTTATCTCCCATCTCTCCTCATGCGAAGCTGCCCCAGAACCGTGAGGGGACCCAGTGCCAAGCAGGGAAGTCTGAGCTTCCTGTCCTGCTTTTCATCATTTTCCTAGCTGGGCTTAATTTCCCCCGGGGGAAATAGAAGGCTTTAAAACAAAGGGAAGGTGGGCTTTCTGTGTAGGATTCTTTGTTCCCCTTTGGTGAGTTGGTTCACCTCTCACAGCCTCAAATCCCTAGGCATCCCCGAGAGGTGTGGACAAAGGCTCTCGGAGATCCATTAAACCCCATGGCTTATACTCTCACCCTGAGGAGTTCCCTGCCTATCGGTGAAAGTAGGCTTCACCCTCAGCTCCTCCAAAGACAGACAGGATGGGAATTGATTAGATCCTCCATGTATTAATATGATCATGGGAACCGCCATGTATTTTTTGAATGAAGAAAAGCAATACGATCACAGGAACCTTTGGTTTGAGCAGGCACATCCCTGACCCTCAAGAGCCCCCAGGGGAACCGTGAGACAGGAGAGGCAAACATTGCAGCCAGGAGGTCTCCAGTGCTGGGGCTCAGGCAGAAGTGGGCAGGCGGTGGGAGAGGACTTAACACTAAGCACCCCATGAATGAGCTTGGGTGGAGGCAGTTAGCAAAGGCTTCCAGGTGTTCCAGTAGGGGACAGAAGGAGGGAAGGGCCATGTCCCCCTGACCGGGTGGAGTAGAGAATAAAATGTTATCCCAGAAGAGGGATCAGTCGTTGAAAATTAATGAAATGGGAGAAGGGTGAAGGTGTGGGTGGTGAAAGCCAAGCAGGTTTTCCCAGACTAGCAACCAACCAGGGAGGGGTAGGGCTGGGGAGGGGGGCAGGTCAGTAATTCTGAACGTGGATGGCTCAGTGAGTGAGGAGAAAGATGCCAGAAATGGACAAGAAGACCTTGGACCTCCCCAGAGGCTGCGAGGAGTCTATGATCAATGGGCTCCTTACTCTAGCACCCACCTGGGCCAGCCAGTGATGCCCACCTGGACTCCTCCTCTCCCCTTCCCCTTCCCACTTGTATTCCATCCCATAAGGCGGGGAGAGCAACGGTCTCAGTGAGAAAGATAGCAGGTGGCAGGGCCCCTGGAGGACTCCGACCTCCTCCAGATCCGACTCATTCAACCTTCCAGAGGCCACCTGTGTCTGGGGGGGGGGGGAGTGGCAGTGGGACCCGGATGACATCATCGTCAGACCTCCAGGGCCATTAAACCAGGTGGGCGTTTTCATCATGAAAGCTGAGTCAAAGGGTGACGGAGGGGCGGGGAGTGAGTCATGTGTGACAGGCAATTCTGCTTCCTGGAGGAGAGCTGTCCATCTTATAAAAGCCAGCTGGCTCTCGCCTTCACAGCGACCCGAGTGGCGAGACAGACTGCTCTTCTCTGAGCACCAGGTGAGTCTCCGATGGCAACCTATTTGAACTTACTGTTTATTTTTGCATTTACTGGAGACTGGACAAGACGAACGTACCGAAGAAGGTTGGTGCAGGGTATTGACTAGAGTTAGAGAATATCTTTATTTTAAATTAGAGCACAGTTTGAGTCTGAAGGGAACTTAGAGGTGGCTGAGTCTGTCACCTCAGCGGACAGCCGTGGAACTGGGGGTCAGAGAAGGAAAGGGCGCCCACAGGAAGTTCATAGCAGGACAAGGGCTCAGGCTCAGGTCTACATCACAGCTTTCTCTGATGTGATACTTACTGAGGAAATTTTAACTCATCTCGTGGATCTCTATTGAGCGCCTATTGCATTTAAGACAGCAGCTAGGCACGTTAGATAAACAGACCAATATGGAACTTACCAAATTGACAACCTATCACGGAAGGTAATGCAGGCAGATAAAGAGCTGCAATGCAAGGTAGATGGTATTTAGTTTAAGGAAAGCAGGGAAGGGAAGGACTACAGGGGTTGGGAGACCATTGGTTAAAAAGAGCTCTTGGTGGTGGCCTGTGACGTGAGCCATGATGGAGGAGTATTTGACAGGCAGACATGGGATGGAGACTGTGCATTCTTATAGGAAACTGCAAGAAAATACCAGAACCAAAACCCAGGGACTTGGGTTAACATAGAGCCCCACTACAGAGTCTCATAGCTTTCCAAGTAGAATCTGGAATGAATAGACCACAGCCACTTCAGTGCTGCCACTCCCCAGACCATCCGCCCTGTGTCTCCCCGAAGCCAGCTTTCTTCAGGCACTTTTCAAGGAGGGCTGTAACCTGTCTGGGGAAGAAGCTGAGGAATGAGCCCCACTGAAATGGGGCAGAGCAGACTGCCTTTACGCTCCCCCTCTTGAGAGGTCCCAGAAACCATCAGAGTACATTTTCAAATGTAGGGATCAGGGAGGGGAGAGGAGAGGCTCTCTCCTTGAAAGGGTCCCTGAATGAAATCTACTGGGCACTGAACTTGGCTTCGTCTCTGTTGCATTGAGAAACTGAGTCAGCTCTTCTGTCTCCAGGCCCAGCCGTCACTGAAGCATGAGTTCCGAGCAGCAGAAGCAGCCCTGCGCCCTACCCCCTCAGCTGCAGCAGCACCAGGTGAAGCAACCTTGCCAGCCTCCACCCCAGGAACCATGTGTCCCCCAAACCAAGGAGCCCTGTCACACCAAAGTGCCTGAGCCCTGCCAGCCCAAGGTGCCTGAGCCCTGCCAACCCAAGGTGCCTGAGCCCTGCCAGCCCAAGGTGCCTGAGCCCTGCCAACCCAAGGTGCCTGAGCCTTGTCAATCCAAGGTTCCTGAGCCCTGCCAACCCAAAGTGCCTGAGCCCTGCCAACCCAAGGTGCCTGAGCCCTGCCAACCCAAGGTGCCAGAGCCCTGCCCCTCGACAGTCACTCCAGCACCAGCTCAGCAGAAGACAAAGCAGAAGTAACATGGTCACAGCCACACCTTGAAGAGGCAACCACTGGATGTCCCTTTTCCGTTTTGCTCAGGTGTCCCATTTTTCTGTTGACCTTATGATTAACATAAGTCATCATCCCTCCCTCTTTGAACCCCCCAAAAAGACATCCCTCACACTCTTCTATGGAAGGTTCCCGAGCCTCTGAAGGTGACTGCAAGTCTCACTGGATGAGTAGGTCTTCCAGGGGCTCAGGGTTAATCTGAAGAGGAATGTTGGGAGGGGTCAAGGGACTCTTCCCTGTTCTGCCCTCATTAAATCACTTTTAACTCCACAACTGGCTGTGTGTGTGTCTGTGGATGATCCAACCTTCCATGCTCTCTTTGCACGAAGCAGGACCTAGTACAGTAAAGGCTGTGGTCAGATTTCAGGGGGAAGATGGCCAGAGACTGATTGGAGGATCCGTCTGCCCAGAGAAATCCAAGCCACCCTAAATGACCACCCTAAATCTTAACGTCTCAAATAATTAATCCACCCTAAATCTTAATATCTCAAATGGTTAACAAATAATAAAACACAAACACTCAGAAATATATCTACAAAAGCGAAGCCCCTGGTAGATCTAGTCCACATGGGTTCTTGAACAAGACAAAGACAAAATGGCTCTGGTGGTTTATTTAAGGGGGTACATCAAAGCCAGGGGTAAGGTTTCAAGGGCGGAGTCTTGCTTTGTGATGACTTGCAGTCAGCAGGTTGATTGACATCTTGGCAGGTCACACCAGTATCAGGTGCCGTCCCCTCTGCAAGGAACCACATCCTCACAGCCACACTGCCCCATGCTTACAACAGACTCCCATACACAGAGATGGACACACACAGACACCTCCACACTCAGATGTCCCAAGTCACACAGAACACACAGACACACTCTGCCTTGGTCACCTTAGTCAGTCTTCTTTTATAGAGTTCCCACCATGAAGACACTTACTATAGCAGGAAGAAGGAGAGTGGAATCCGTAGTGCCTGCCCTAGGAGAGAGCTGCTGTTACCCTATCCCATCCCTTACAAAAAGTACCCACAGCCTTCTCTCTCCGTCCCCCTCACTCTCCCTCTCCCCCTACACACACACACACACTCACACACACACACACACACGGTACTTCTCTAAATAAAACATAAAAACAAATGCATCAAATAAAAGATCAAAAAGTTCAAGCAGCTTTCAGAAGAAGAAAGACTAACAAGATAGATCAAAATCCATCATGAAATAGGGTGGACAGGTCATGACAATATAAATTTTAGGGAAATTAGAGGAATTAGTCCAGTCCACTCATTTTTCAGAATAGACAAGTATCTAGAAAGGGGAAGAGAATTATCTCAAGGCCCCCAGAAGTCCTGTTTCTGAATCACCCTGGAGCCCAGCTCTTCTGACTCTCAGCTTCCGGCTTCTCCTCTGGAGCCCTGTGTTCCTGCTGCCCCCCGTGGTGACCAGCGGGTTTCAGAGGCTCTTTGACCAGGTCTGGGTTATTGGCAAATCGTCTGCAGAGGATGAGCGGCCAATCGGGGTTTTCAGAGGGGCTGCAGAGGTCACCGGGTGTGACCCCATTCCATGACAACATGGTTGGTCTAAAATGCCAAAGAGGTGTGAGGCAGGAGACAGGAAACCTGTATGACAGGTCAGCTTGGAAAGAGCTCAAACCACAGACAAACACAGTCTAAAAAGTTTTTGCAAGTTGAGTAGTTGTCAGATCAGTAGGAGAGAATGACATCACTTGGGTCTGTAAGGTATGCTCACATTGAGATGACTTCAAATTACCGCTCATTAGCATGATGGAAAATGTCACTAACATCTCCAGGAGGAGTCACCTTAACTTAAAGGGGCAGGCCGGGTGGGGACTCTGGCAAGTGATACATAGATGTTGGTGGTGTGACGTCAAATGCAAAATGAATCAAAATCCTTCAATATCTGCATGCACCTGAATTCCACAGGGTAATAGTCATTCCCGTACAAATTATTTATTTGTTAGGGTGATCATTTTAGCATTTTATGTCATTTAAAAAATGGGAGGGAAACAGCATGCATTCCCAACAGAGAAAATTGACAAAGTTATTATGTATCTAAGTATTGCAATAGTTATCATGTATCTAAGTACTACAATATACACAAAAGTCTGATGATAAGTTATATGCAAAAATGTTTGGATGATATTAAGATCATATAAAATATTATGGCATATAAGACATAATCACATCCTTGCACAATAAAAATAGCAGTAAATATAGCAAAGCATAAACAGTGAGTTTGACCGTTGAGTAAAATGTATTATTTTATTCTTTGAATAGCTCTAGATTTCAGCCATTGTCTATCCCATAAACTGATGCATTTATTTAGAATACTTCTTTATAGAGGGAAAGTGTTTGTCCAGAACCTTCTAGAGGCTCCAGAGCAATTTCCAGGCCAGCAACCCAAAGGTGGGAGCAAGAGTCTTAAGACATTTTGGTGGTATGCACATAACACCACAGTTCAACTCTAAACCCCAATAACACTCCCTCCACCTCACTCACAGAGACGCCAGTGTCCCCTCTGACTTCAACATTGCCACCCAAGTTACCCTGTACCTGGCCAGGGACGGACGCTCCCTGACACAGCTCTTTCTCTTCCCCGGGCCACTTTCTTTGCAATGACAAGAGAATGCCATTTACAGAGTCTGCAGTCGAGGGCAGGGACTGTTTTTCACATGAGGAATCCCAGGCGCAGACCACCACGCATGCATTGCGGTCCACAAACTGCCTGCTGACCTCAGCTTGTGCAGGTAAAGAAGTTCATATTTAGTTTCTTCTTGTGACTATAGGTTGGCTTCCTCGCCTGCTCATTCCTGTAAGCGAGCAGGACCGGGAGTCCCCAGGGGGTCTAGAGGAGAGCAGTTCCATATGGCAGTTCCCAGGGAGAACGGGGAGTTTCCCGTGGGTGTCCCACTGGGCTGCTGGTGTTGCCTCCTTACTTCTGACTCAGGAGAGCTCTCTGGTGGACATCGCTGGGAAATCTTGTCCCAACTGGCTCTCTCCATTTCCCTACTTAATTTGCCTGCTTCTCTTCCTGTTCTCCTATTCCAGTTCACCATGTTCACCACTCCCCCAACCTGCCCCCCCACACACCTCCCCAGAACCAAATGGCTGGCCTGGCTCTCATGAGGCCTCCACTGGCCCTTGATGCATTAACAGACACAGCTTTCAACGGGCTGCATCCAACGGCCCTGCGCATCCCACACCAGGCACCCATCCTGGATCCCATCTTCCCTGTCCTGCTTAGGGCTTCCCTATGGACTCTGGGTCCATGCAACATGGCGAGGGTCATTTCATCTCTGCTGAGAGGTTTCACCTTCACGGAAAGACGCAGGATGTCTGCACCACATTCTTTGAACACAGACCCCTCCTAGCTTGGGGACCACTTGAGCCTGACCCTTCCCCAACCTCATCCTCCCTACATATCAAAGGCAGCAATGCTCACGACAGTGAAAACCACCTGCTCTTCCCTAGCTGTACCTGCAACACCCTATGGAAAGAGGTGTCCTGTAGCCTTTAGAAGACTGAGCTCCACAGGACAGGGCTGTCTCTCCAATCCAACTGAGAGACTCCCCAGCGGAAGGATGTCTGTTTTTCCAGTGACTAAAGTAGTGGCCACAAGGACAGAAGGACTGGCTTACTTCACTTAGCATGACGGTCTCCAGATCCAGCCATTTAAGGCGAATGTCATAAAGTCATTCTTCTTTTATTTTTCATTTGTTCTAATTAGTTATGCATGACAGTAGAATGCATTTTTGATAATCAGACATAATGGAGTATAACTTCTCATTCTTCTGGTTGTACATGATGTAGAGTTACATGGGTCATGTAATCATATGCACATAGGGTAGTGATGTCAGATTCACTCTACTTCCTTTCTACCCCCATATCTCCTCCTCCTTGACTCCCCTCTATATGATCTAGAGTACTTCTATTCTTCCTTACCCACCCCCTCATTTGAATTAGCATCCACATATCAGAGAAGGCATTCAGTCTTTAGCTCTTTGGGATTGGCTTATTTTGCTTACCATAATATTCTCTAGTTCCATCCATTTACTGGCAAATGCCATAATTGCGTTCTTCTTTGAGGCTGAGTAACATTCCATTGTGTATACGCACCACATTTTCTTTATCCATTTATCTGTTGAAGGGCATCTAGGTTAGTTCCACAGTTTAACTATTGTGAATTGAGCTGCTATGAACATTGATGTGACTGTGTCCCTGTAGTATGCTGATTTTAAGTCCTTTGGGTATAGACCAAGGAGAGGGATAGCTGGGTCAAATGGTGGTTTTATTCCTAGTTTTTTCAGGAATCTCCATTCCACTTTTCAGAGTGGTTGCTCCCATTTGCAGTCCCACCAGAAATGTATGAGTGTGCCTTTTCCCCATATATTTGTCAACATTTATTTCTACTTTTTTTTTTTTTTGGTACAGGGGCACTTAACCTCTGAGCCACATCCCCAGCTCTTTCTTTATATTTTATTTAGAGACAGGGCTTTGCTGAGTTGCCCAGGGCCTCTCTAAGTTGCTGAGGCTGGCTTTGAACTCGGGATCCTACCTCAGCCCCCTGAGCCACTGTGATGACAGGCATGGGCCACTGTGCCTGGCTTACTTGTATTCTGATTAATTGCCATTCTGAGTGAAGTCATATGAAATCTCAGTGAAGCTTTAATTTGCCTTTCTCTAACTGCTAGAGTTGGTGAACATTTTACATATATGTGTTGACCATCATATTTCTTATTTTGAAAAATGTCTCTTCAGTTTCTTTGCCCGTTTATTGATTGGGTTATTTGTTTATTTGGTGTTAAGTGTTTTTTTTTTTTTTTAATTCTCTATATGTCCTGGAACTTAATGCCCTAGCTGAGGTGCAGGTGGCAGAGACTCCCCCCCCCCCCCCATTCTGTAGGCTCTCTTCACGCTCTTGTTTCATTTGTTATGAAGAAGCTTTTTAGTTGATGCCTTTCCGTTTATTGACTATTGATTTTACTTCTTGTGCTGGTTTGGTTTTTGATAATATCCATTTCTACTGGTCATCCCTTTAAAAATAATTACTTCATTAGAAAGATTTCCGAGGGTCATTTTGGGAGAGAAACTATGGGAAGTGTGTTTGTAAGGACATGTAGTTGTATATTTGTGCGTATGAAAAGAATGTGAGGATCACATCTCCTGCAGAGGACTGCAAATTCCCCACGGGAGGCACTCCGCGTGCTCTTCTCCATCTTCCTGAGCAGGGCTAGGTCTCTATGCACATGGTAGCTATCGAGCAAAAGATCATATTGTCTGTTCTGATGAAGATGGAGCGTGAGTGGGTGATTATGTGATGTGTGATTATTTACAAAGACTATGTCTCCTCGTGAGTATCTATATGGCTCAGGGTAGCTGGAATGTAAAATGAGTGAAGGAAAATAGGTTACTAAGTTCCAATATGTGGAAGCAAATTTTCCTGGGAAGAGACAGGAGATGTGTTGGCAGAATACTGAGGAGCTTGGAGGAGGCACCATGGAACTCAAATGTGACTCAGTCCCAAGTAAGAAGCCATCTTTGTTCTAGCTGTGGCTCCTCAAAGTGAGAGTTTCCGGTTGCCATTATACAATGCCTCATTGATCTCCGAGAAATGCCCTTGAAGTGTATCCCCCAAGGCCTCATGAAATAATCCGGTGCCAAGATTAAATAGGTGGCACGTACACCAGTCCTTCCCCGTGATATGTCCTGACTCATATGGGAGACCACGGCAGGGGAAGGCTGAGCCCCGACACATAGCCGAGGTGGAGAGACAAGTGATTCAAGGGGATAGAGCAGGAAACACGCAGTTCCTTCCATCAGGAAAAACTATTCAGATGAACTCTCAGCAACTGAAGACCAGCAAAGGCACTGAGAGTTTCTTAAAGGCTTACGCAAACTTCCTGAGAGTTTATGCAAGGGAAGGTTTGGGTGCATAATTTTAGGATACAAATAAGGAGTCAGGGTGACAACATGTTGATTATGAGATCTATTGAAAGTTGAGACAGGAAGATGGGAAGTGGGTGTTCATCAGGTGGTGCTCAGCTCCTGAAGAACCTGGCTCTGGACGGCTTCACTTCTGCTTGGTCTTCTGCTGAGCTGGGCCTGGAGCCACTTTTGAGGGGAAAGGCTCAGGAACCACAGTATAGCCTGGCTGTGGAGCCACAGTGCAGCCTGGCTGAGGAGCGATGGTGCAGCCTGGCTGAGGGGCCACAGTGTAGCCTGGCTCAGGGACCTTGGTGTACCCTGGTTGAGGGGCCACGGTGCAGCCTGGCTCAGGGACCTTGGTGTAGCCTGGTTGAGGGGCCACGGTGCAGCCTGGCTCAGGGACCTTGGTGTAGCCTGGTTGAGGGGCCACGGTGCAGCCTGGCTCAGGGACCTTGGTGTACCCTGGTTGAGGGGCCACGGTGCAGCCTGGCTCAGGGACCTTGGTGTAGCCTGGTTGAGGGGTCACGGTGCAGCCTAGCTCAGGGACCTTGGTGTAGCCTGGTTGAGGGGCCACGGTGCAGCCTGGCTCAGGGACCTTGGTGTACCCTGGTTGAGGGGCCACGGTGCAGCCTGGCTCAGGGACCTTGGTGTAGCCTGGCTGAGGGGTCACGGTGCAGCCTGGCTCTGGAGTCTTGGTGTTCCCAGGCTGAGGGACATTTGGGTGGCACGGCTCTGGGATTGTGGGAACCAGCGGTCCTTGGGGGGGAGGCTGGCAGGGCTGCTTCACTTGCTGCTCCTGCAGTTGAGGGGGTGGGACAAAGGGCTGCTTCTGCTGGTAGGAACTCATGCTTCAGGGGAGGCTGGACCTGGAGGCAGAAGAGTGACTTAGTTTGGAGAAGCAAGGAAGAAGCTCAGTTTGATGGCAATGGCTCTCACTGGGCACCTCTTCATAAGGGAGAGTCTCCCTTTTCTCTCTCTCTCTCTTTCTGTGAATTTGAGATCAGAGGAGGCTTTATGGTCCCTGCACGCTTTCAAGATCAAAGGTCAAAGTGACTGGCTGAGTCCCACGCGACTGGACCCTCCTCTGCTTCCTCTCTGCCTGGAGCATCCAGAAACCTCCACGTGACCCAGAAACTGAACTCAGACCACTCCACACAGAGCAGCTTCCTAGGATTGATGGAAGGCCCCAGGTTTTCAAAAGTCTGGAAAGATGTGGCGTGTCCCCACCCATGTCCACCCTGCAGAGTGCCCTAGCTCTCCCAGGGAAGCTCTGTGGGGACCTCCCCTGGGCCTCCATGACCCCCCTGGGAGCCTCTGTCCACACCGTCCCCTGTGCGGTGGTTTCTGGAAGGCTTCCCACTGCCTGGCTGCTTGTCCCCGTGTCCTCCCCAGGCCTCTCCCCGAGTCCAACTGGCCTTCCTCCTGTCCCCCAGCAGAGCCCTGTCCTCCCTCTTAGTGGTTACAGATTGTGCCTGTGTCTGTTTTCTGAGGGATCATACACTCATGGGGTAAAGGAATGCTTTCCTTATGGATAGCCACATTGCCCATATAACACTTTCCATATTAAAAATCCTCAAAAATATGAGAGGAAGAATTAAAATTCACCCAAAGTGCCCTTGACATAGGCATAGCCTCCTGCTAACAAATCTTTACACAAATCAGTCCCCTTGTCTGATCTTTAGCTCCACAGCTGGAATTTGAGTGGGAAGTTCAAAAAAAATTGTAAAGTCGCCCCAAACAAAGTTGCCATCACTTTTAAAATAGACGAATCCTAACATGACAAGTAGATCCCAATAAACTTAAAGTACTGATAGGAGAATACTAAGAAGGTCCAACGGGAAGACTCACCTGGTGCGCAGGGAAGTTCAAGCTCTCTGGACTCTCAGGTCTGGCGTGTGGAGTCTCTGTTTGACTCGCTTTTTATACGGAAAACAAGCCCTATCCTAAGGAAGTAGGGTTTTTTTTTAAAAACTGCTCTGTCTTCATTCCAGTTTAGTGATGGAGATCTCTGGATCAACTTTTTTTTCTTTTTTTCCAGCGCTTACCCTCTGACAATGATGTCACCTGGGCATGTCCCCATTGTCCATCTTTTGTGGTATGGTTGCTGTGGGCAACAGGCTTCTTGCGGGGTAACGTATTACAACGGAAGGGAGTTCTCGGTCTGCCAGGACCAGGAAAAGTCATGCTTCTTGACCACAGCCCTCGTCTTTAGCCCAGATTAATCCTATTGGGCTTCTCCATGCTTGAAGTGGATGTGTGGATATTAATAGGCATTTCTGGTTCTTCAGGTAGGGCATGGGGTGGTGCAGAATAAGTGAATCATCTGGTTTTCAATCTCTCCGTGGTTCTAAGTCATCAATAAGAAATTAAAGGGCCAAATGTCTCTTTTGGAAATGAGTGATTTTCATTTTGGAGACCTTAAGATGCCATGTTGACCAGGGAGAGGAGAGGTGCCATTGGCAATGGGTGATCAGGATTGACAGGCTCTTCCTGACGTGATGGCACAGACCTGAAGACCCTGCCTCTTATGGTGTCTTTCTTTCCTGGGATGACAAAGGAATAAAAAAGAGTTCTGGTTCTCTGAGTTTGAACAGAAGCCATTTCCTCTCCTCACAAAAGGAGGAATTTGAGGTCACTCACTCCCAGTTGCCCTGATACCCAGTCTCTTACTGGGTATGGTCCGCAGGAAGTCCAAACATCCCCCGAGCTCGGGTCTGTGGATAGTTTCTCCCTCCCACCACCGGACCGCAGTGTGACCTCCCATCAACCGGATACCCTAGGTCTGGCCACCACCGTCCGCTCCTTCCACCTGTTCCCAAAGCCAGAAGTCATTCTTTGCCCTCAGCCTGCCTGGTCATGGTATGTACTCAGCCTACGGACAGTTCTTATTTTTGCAAAATAGACTTGTAGGTCCATGAAGAATAGTGGAAGCAGACAGAAAGGACGGAAGGAAGGAGAGGTGACTAGAAAGAGAATAAGAAAAAGGAGAAGGAGAAAGGAGGAAAGCGTGAGATGCAGACATACTAGGGAACTGTTGAGAACCTAGGGCTGCCTTTGAAAACGAGTCGCCATGTTGGACGGGCCTCACAGTGCGAGCTGAGAAGAGTTCATCAAGGAGCAGATGCCCCACTGCCTTCCCATCCCCTCCCTTCTCTGTTCGTGTCTGAGAAGCCACCCCCTGGAGGTGATGCCAGGGCCAATGTCACACTAAGCCCCGTCTCTGAGATCACCCTGGCTTTTCTTTGGAGTGAGATTCAGGTTCTTTTTTTCTCTCCCAAACCACCTTCTTATAGCCCCGGATGCAGGGAACCCTGGTCATTCCCTGCTGTTCCACCAGGTCTCTTATCCACTGCTCCTGCTCCTCCGTCCTCCTTCATTGATCTGAGACCTTCCTGGGACCGTTGGTGGAGGGCACCATGTACCTCTCTAGCTGACCTCAGCTTGCCCCCATGTTCACCCTTGATTCCGAGCCTTGGTTCTAGAAGAAACTTTTCTTGTTTCCTGTGTCCCTTCCCTGGGTGAACACCCTCCTGCCCTTCCCTCTGGTGCCTCATTCACCCCAGCACAGCCTGGTGCCATCAGGGTCTGGAGCTCCTAACCTGGACCCACCCTGTCATTCCTGTCCGTTTGGTCAGGCACACTCAGTGGCTGGGTGTCAGACTCTTTCTGTCCTCCCAAGAAGCTCTGTTTTTCCTGAGCAGTGTTAGGTGTGCCCACGAATCTGGGCTTAGCTTCAGAGAGGGTAACCCGGCAGCTTCTGAAATGAAGTCCCACATCCCCTGGAACTTGGGTCTTCCCCACTGTCTCTCTTCTCTGGTGGAGGAGGCTGATGTTTGTTTTTTTTTTTTTCCCAATTTCATTTTCCTGGGACTTTCTTAGGACTTATTTGTGAATGGTACTGGATACCTCCTGGGCACTGTCCAAAAATCTTTTGGACCTTGTTCTTGTACCTGTAGTAGCTAAATGATCTGTTCTCAAGTGCTGTGTACGGCTCTTCTCTTTCTTTGCAGACCCAAAGTCTTTCTGATGCCACAGTCTGTGGGAATCTTCAATGCACTGTGGATATGCAAGCTTGAAGTCCAAATCGGTTAACACCAGTGGCCATATTTTGCCTGTGGAAGATATTAACTAATAGATGATGTTCCCCTCTTTCATTCCCAGGATAACCCTTGAATGACATAATTTTCCTGTTATCTTAGTTGGTTCTGAGCATCAAATTTCAGCAGCCTGGAGGATTGCAAGTTCAAAGCCAGCCTCAGCAACTTGGTGAAGCCCTAAGCAACTTAGACTCGGTCTCAAAATATAACAATAAAAAGGGCTGGGGATGTGGCTCAGAGACTAAGTGCCCCTGAGTTCAATCCCTGGTACCATAACAAACAACAAGAAAAATTTCCAGTTGCCCTCCTTGGTGGCTACCTACTTAGTCACCTATTCTTTACCAATTTTTTCTTTTGCTTGGTTTCTACCTTCCTTAATCCCACATTCCTCCTCCCTAAGATTATGTTCCCAAAACATAATCTGCACATAAATCTTTTTCTTATGCTCTGATTTGGAGGAATCCAGTCTGGTGTGTTCTGAAACACATGCTCTATTGAGATAAGAAAGAAAGAAAGGAAGGAAGGAAGAAAGAAAACTGCCTGGTGATGGGAAGGAGTGCTGAGGCCAAGGTCAATACAAACCCATGTATCTGGATTGTGGAGGACAGAGTCCTGCCCGTGGTTGAGCAATTGGAAATCTCAAACGGACCCCGTGGTTGTGTATTTATGTACTCTCCTCTACACACTCTGTTTCTCATTTATTCGGGGGAGTTTGTAGTCCTGGATTTGACCAGGTAAACATAGTGCATCTTAACCCCATGATTGAGGGAGACACAGTGTACTGGCGGTCTCAGGGTCTGCGTTGTGCAGGAGACACCCTAGCCATGAGGATGTCTCAGTTGGTCAGTCCCTGGCTCTGGGGCTCCAGGTACATGCCCTGGGGCTTTAAGGTCACCAACCCTGTCACCGTCAGCATCTTGTTGCAGTTGCTAGCTAAACCAGCCATCACTGTCCAGCAGGATTCTGCTCACCAGCAGACAGCTGACTTGCAACAATGAATAGTCTTCAAAAGGTGATGTGTGCACTAGAGTTCCATGTTCCCAAAGTTGAAGGTATTGTTGAGCATGTGATGACAAAGTGAATCATATCGATCACTTGAATTCTTCCTGTAAGGCTTGCTGTGATTTATAAATCACATAGAGATGAAATAACTTGTTGCAGTGTTTGCCAATACAGTTTGGTGCCACTGTCTTGGTTCTTGCTAAAGTCCCAGGGATTTACCCTTCCTTCATTTATATTGAACAATCTGTGCAGTATTAATAAAATGAAAAGACAAACTGCCTTCTTATTATTTTGTTATCAATTTTGACATCAGAGACTCCCTGATAGGCATCTTAAAGACCCCTGAAAATCTGCACATCCTACTTTGGGAACTGCCCATCTAGAATAACAACTTCCATGCGCCTAGATTTACAAAAGTATGGCAGTCTCTTCTTTGGGCCCAGTGACATTGGCCTTGGGGCAAGACAACATATGAAGCCTTGAGATGGGAAGGACCCACATCACAAACTACAACTTCACAAGTTACTATCAATAAAAATAGTCTTGCCAAGGTCGCTATACTTTGGAGAAGGGGCAAGTGGAAAGAACACTATATAGCTACTGAAGATTTGACAGATAAGATCAAATTACAAAAAAAGAGCTCATTTTTTTTTTAGCCATTTGCATATTCTATTCCTCACAGGTATCAAGAATTTGTCATTTTTTTTTAAATGCAGAAATCTGATATTTACAGAGGGGCTCATACAAG